TCATCGTTTCTAAACTGTTATAATAATTAGTCAGAATTTCTTTCAGACCAAAAGAAATCGAATTTACCATTTCAATCAATTTGCTGAAGAATTGAATATTGCTAAAAAAAACAAAGGAAACGAGTTTGTGTCAGTCTGTTGACGTTCTGTGGCCTCATTTCGTGAATTTCAGCTGACTTTTTTTGTTTTATAGGTGGGTGACTCATAGAATTCAACATTTCACCAGAAAAATTAAGACCTGGGCTTCGATTCTTCGTTATTCACCACCCCCAAGCTTTATCAATAAATCAATGACTGAGAATATTTTTCGATTTTTAAGAAAATACTATTCTAACTCACAAAATATTTTGGTACATAAGCGAATGAGGAAGAATAACTATTCATATGAAGCACAAGTACTTATTGAAAAATATGTCCATTTAGGAATGGTGATAAATCTGCTGGTGAAAGCCATTTTGTGTATCATCACGCTGAAACAGATCAGCGTGCTGTCTTGAGCTTTTTAATGGAAACCGAAGATAGCACAAGGCATCAAGTGTATCCGAGAAATAGATCAAAAGCTGTTGCAATGGAGCAACAGTGGCAAACTTATTTTGATACTGCACGTCATCTAATGGAGGAAAATAGTTCTGCCACAGTTGATTTAACTTTGAATTTACTTATGGGAAGCAATTTAGCTGAATTTTGGCGATATGAAGGATCGTTGACTACACCATCATGCAAGGAAAATGTTTTTTGGACCGTATTCCGACAACCTATTTTGATTTTAAACTATGATTTTGAAGCTTTTCGGGATGATTTATTTTTTGAAAGTTATCGTGGTCCACAGCCACTTTATCATCGACAAGTCTATCGAAGTTTTCTCAACGAAAAGCTGTCACCAATACCCGACGAAAACGTTTGTATAAATAAATCGGAAGCAGGATTGTTCTTCGATATCTTTCATCAAACAACCATATGTGTGTTACATTTTAGTTTTCTGGCTTTTTATCGATTATTCTACTTGAACTAATTTATATTGGCATAACTTTTTCAACTAATCTTACTATAATAATTTTTCAGAGTTCGCAATTTCAACTGCATTTTGCCTCAAAGATGTTTGACTTGAATTCAAATTTTCGCAGAATTTGAAATAGCAGCTCCTCTGATTAGTCATCTTGCCTTTCAATTCATATTACCGAATAAGGTTCCTTTTTTATCTTCATCACAATACGAGCTTCTCTCGTTTATTTTTCTTCATTCTTTACTGACTTTTTCATTGGAAAGTCAACCACATAATATGTAGATCGGGTGCGAATGTCTATGCAACTTTTTCACGTATTGATAGGCATAAATCCGACACGGAATTCAATAACAGATCAGCAGATCGGATTTATGTTAATATTCACTGATATACAGATTTTCAGAACCGATCGAAATTCCATGAGCTGTATTCCAATCTATTGTCTGTGGGATCCCACAAAAATCTTGAGATCTTGCATGAATCGTGTAAGTTTAGTTAAGATTTCTGTTTCAATATACTTCGATATTCAACGGCAAAAAGTGTATTAATTCTTGATGTTGAACTCTGGCATATTCCTTATGTAGTTTCAAACTTTTTCGGTATTTCTCGAAATTATGTAATTCTCAGCATTAGAAAAATGTTTTGGTTGGCTAACTATGCCATCATCGATTAAATGTTTTATTTTCGACAAATTGGATATGAGCTTTCATCGAAGCTAAGAAAAGCAGCCAAAATATCATGAATGAAATATGTTGTGTTTTGCATAAGCCAGACATGAGATTTCAGTAAAATCGTTCTCAGCGTCCAAATCCTCAACATAATACATAAGTTAAAGATGTTTAAAGTTCGCAAATTTATACAAAATCATGTATGTCATACTTGAAACTGCAATTCAATTATTCAATTATCAATCGATAGCATTGTCCGAATCAACTGTTTATCTATTAGTTACAACTAAAAACTAATCTACCTATTGGGACATAGCCTGTTGGAGTAGTCTTAAAAAGTAATGGTGCACAAGTATGCAATGACAAAGGTGTTTTGACTGTTAATAGTTCATAGCCAGCCGACAAACTCTATCATTATAGACTATAAACGATTTAGCTGTTTGTGTTTCAGGCTCGATTACAAATTTATATGAACTTGTTGTTAGAGTATCTGGAGATAAAGTACAATTTCCATTGTAATTCAATGCAACATATGTTCCATTGGGTGACGTTGTACACTTATTAGGATTCAAATTAACCCAATGAAATATATTAAATATTGGCAAGGAAACATTGAATGAAACTAAACACGCGATGATCAAAACACCAAATCCAACCATACTGATGTCGATGTGAAAATACTATTTTTTTTTCAGGAATGATGCGCACTTTTGATGCCAGCTGCTGATATCTCCCCAGTGATAAATAAATTTACTCGGTAAGACTGCAATAAATAGTTGCTAGAAAGAAAAATAAAACATCCGGTAACATGTTGTTCTTATCAAACATCGCTTTTGGTTTTCCATAATAAAATTTCTTATTTCAACTATAATTATTAAGTAATTTTCAAGTAAAATGTTGATGCTCTGTTTTGAGAATTATTTTTTATTTTCAAATCTGGTTAAAACTGCAGTTATGAACAAACTAGAAAGCTTAGTAACCTTGTAATCGATTTTTCTCTCGCTTATTTGCACAGCATTGAAGAAGTATCAAAAATCTTGTTACATTTAACCGTAGAAAACTTGAGAAGATATTCTCTGTATTTGTGTACCTTGCATTTGCATACTGACAGTCCTCCACATGTTTGCATTCTATCAACAGGAATCAAAGGATACTCCCATATGAAAAAGCTTCAATGAAAATTAAACTGTTTATGAAACACAAAATTCAACAAATATTGATCGATCATGAATTATATTTATTTTTGGCGATTAAAATCCATCTTACAATAGAATCGCTATCAAGCTTCAAACTAACTTTCGGCTATCAGTCGGTAATCAAACTTATTCCATCGTGGACTATATTTTTGCGCAGAAAGGAAAGCGTTGATAAACCTTTATGAAAAGACACCAAATGTATCGCCGATATTTCTTCTCATAATTTAACTTTGTGAATCTTTTGAAATGTGTTTCAATGAAGAATATCAATACACGTTTGATAGATAACTAACATACACATGAAACTGCGTGAGAAAAGTAATGGCATACATCGTAAGCGCAGTTGATTAGTAGCATGCATTAAAAAACCTATAGCTTCATCAAAGACACAAAGAATTTGTTTCATTTAGGATGCTCCGCTTATCGATGCTAATCACAACTGGAGACGGGGACCGTCTAATGTGAAAAATTGGCATCATAAGAAAGTTGATTTGCTCTTTTAAATACTTACACCAAACTATATGAACATTGTTGTTGATCTTGTCGTTGCGTTAATTAGATATCAACATTCATACTCTCACTTTCCACAGGTAGGATTTGTTAGACATTGGTCTAACGCGAATGATTGTTTTCTTTGACAGCATTACATTCAAATGTTCACAGAGCAATACAAAATCGATTTGGGAGCTAGAAATTTATTTTCAGATAGAAATAGCACGTTTAGAAGATTTGAAAAGATTTCAAAGGTACAATAGAAAAAAAATCAGTGTTGAGAAGAAATGAATTGAAAACGAAAAAGATCAAAAAGTCTATTCCACTTCATGGAATTGTTAAGATAAATTGAGAGCAACGTGTATTGCTTAAATCAACTGATAGACAAGAGCAATTGGTAGAATTATGGCCATAGAAATAACCGATAGGCTTTGAAGCGAAGATGCACTGTTACATAACTTCGTAGTGCAACAGCATGTAGAACTAGTTACACCATTTATATTTTGTGACTTACAGCCATTCACGTCTCCAGAGCAGTCGCCAGTTGTATTTACACCACGACGTGATATGCTGAAAATGCCATTGCTTTCACTCTTTACTTTCTGGAAAAAAAGAAAACGATTTATGAGTTTTAGCGCCATGAAGTAGAGAAGAAAATCAAAAGAACATACCACACACGCTATAAAGGTAGTATCGTCATCCGTGTTGTCGTCATTCATGGCACTTGCATTGAACGGATCACCACAACCCGAGTTTACGCCGCTTTCACAATAATAACATTCTAATCCATGAACGATGTAGATGCATCCTATTTATACATCAAACTCAATAAAATGATATTGATCGATTGATTTAAAACTTAATTACCTAGGATAGATAGAAGAAGTACTATAGACTGCATGCTAGTTGTTCTTGTGTGATATTATTTCTTCTGATGATGAAAATGAGATATATCTAGTGCACAAAATAATATAAAAAAAAGACGTCTAAATTCACACGAAAAGAAAATCGGGAAAAAATGCATATATTTAGACGATGCGAACGTACTAAAGCTTTTCTACGAATAGATTATTGTTGTGAATTTCAATCGTGTATTTGAATCAATTATATATCTGTGCTTCGCAGATTCGGATTGTTACAATTTTTACTAAATGAACTAATAGTTATACTTTTCTTCTCTACAAACTCGTATTAAATTTGAACTCTTGATTGATGCGCTAAGAGATCATTAACAAAACAACAGTTGATATCGTTGCAAGAGGATGATCTGATTTTATTTTAATGACAGTTTATCTCAACTTTTTGTCAAACTGTGCAGCTCTGTGAATTATAATTATTCTTCTAGATAATAGGCTCAGCTATTTATCTATAGTCACTGCATATTATGTGGAAAAAGAGGACAAGAGGATTACAAACGTTTAGAAATACTATATGTGTGTATAATTGTTTCTCATCTCTACGGATATAACTAGAAAAACTAGACAATCGTAATTCTATCTGACTCTAACACATAAATAGCCATATGAACATCATAGATAAAGTACAATCAGTCCATGTCTATTTGACTTAAAAGTAAATGAGAATGTTAATAGCAGAGAGAATAGAAAATGAAGAAATACTCATTTAAACATGCAAATGAAAGACTCTATTTATGAAATCTATTCAAAAGTGCGCCACTCAACATACTGAATTCTTCTAAAGTGATGATGGCTGTGGGATCTCATAGCGAACTGTCATTTGATCTCTATGGAAAAAGAATTCTTTTACTGTAGATTTTTATTTCAACCTCTCTCTTATGCACTTGATATTTATATTCACTAATACGATTATGAAATGTGATCTTGAATATTTTGTAAACTTACCTTACCGATTACTGTAAGAAGGAAAAAAGAGAGTTAAAAAGATCATGTGATTAGATACAAATATTGGCTGATAAAACATATACAGAAATTAGCTGGATGGAAATGTACAGACATTTTTCATTGTCATTATAAGCCGCGTAAGCTCACGCTCCTTCCTGACGTAGAACACAAAAATACTGAAAATTCTTCCACATAAAGAGAATGACGACTATATTTTATTGACTAAGTATTTATTTGTTTGCCTTTAACTTTCTTAGGCAACGCTTCATAAAAACAAATAAATGGCGAAAAAGATTTGAATCTTTTCTCGAAGAGATCTTGGATTTGACCCTACCATGACAATGTGAAATATCTTAGTACCATAGTGATATTAGCTTTGCCAGCGATCTTTATTGTACTTATTGTTTGTAGTTCTACTGCAAAGATATCTAACTTTTTCAGATAAAGATTTTGCGCAAAAAAGTTAAATTCTTAATGAAAATAATTTTATTGTAGTATCCGATTCCTTATAAAAGGAGAAGCAAAAAAACATGTTTCTGATTCAACAAATCACAGTTAACTGTATCATTATATCATCGTTAGATAGTTACAGCCTAAAACAAGATCGTCAATCATTTTACTCATTTATTTAAAATAATTCCATTTAATATCTCATCCATAATCGTGGCCATGAGAGCAAATTACATTCTATTTTTATTTAGTTGTTCGTCTTTGTATATACGTATATCTAAAAGATCCTTTATGTGTACGATACAGTCCATCACGATCACTTTTGTGTAGATAATGCATACAGTTAAAACTAGTTTTACTTCCATTCCGTTTGCTTCCACTGTGTCAAATCGCATTCAACAAAATTCTTGGTCGATCAGGAAAAATAGCTTTCCGATGATGTTCTTGCTTTACCTAGTTACTATAACATACACAATCAACTAATAGTTCGGCCAAAGACAGCTTTATCTGCTTGTTTTCTTTACCGACTAATAATATCCTATTCAACATTACGCAAGACGTTTCTTAATTCAGCCAATATTTTTCTTTATTGAAAGCAATTTCCTGCTCTGATATTTTGGTTGTTGACATTCACTGGCGCTTAACATGGGAATCGGAAAATATGGAAAATGGCTAATACTCGAGCTTGTATCTCTACTGTGGATATGTTTCTTCTCTCCATTTTTGCCAAGGAGTAGGCGTCAATGGTTCCAACCTTTTTCGGTCCCGATCCAAATCTAATGAAACGGAACTTGAATGCTTTCAATTAAATTTTCTAAAGCTTTCCCGCAATAGAATAATCCTAGTTGAGTCCATCTAACTCGCTGGGTACGCATTCAATTAGTGGCATTTTACACTGGTGATATTCTGTTGTCATTGCCAGTTCTTACTTTGTAGAAAAATTATCTAAGAACGTTTTCTTTTATTTTCAAAATGAATAAGCAAGTTTAGCAGATTGAAAAATAATAATGGAAAGCAAGTGGTGAAGTTAAAACAAAAATAATTGAAAAATCCATTCAAACTCAAGCAAGCATTCAGATAAATTGATGAAAGTAACCAAAGACCATCTAAATATCTTGCATCCACTGATAGACGACGACGACTGTTGATACTATCATGATCATGAAACGAACTGATTGCTTTTGAATGGAAAGTGCACTATTACATAAGTCCGAAGTACAGCAGCATGTCGTAATACTGTTGACAGATTTGCACCCGTTCCCGCCCCCGATACATCTTTCGGTAATAGGTATACCACTGCGCACAACAAGGATAGCGCCTTTGATTTCACTTTTTACCTTCTAAAGAAATAAAAAGATAGTTTGATCGTGTTAGTGCCATGAACAAGACATGCAAGCGAAAGAAAAACATACCATGCATACTTTGTGCTGACCGGCACCAGCCGTTTCATTCGTAGGTATTAATGACGAACTACTAAACGGGTCGCCACAATTGGGTGTGGAGGCAGATTCGCAAGCATAACATCTTAATCCATTCGCAACAGAAATACATCCTATTCATGCGTGAAATTCAATTAAATCATAGATTACTTTTCATACATTTAAATCTGAGTTACCTAAGATAAATAAAAGTGCAAATACGACTTGCATTCTCGTAACTCCTGGTTTGTGTAACTTCTTGGAACAATGAAAACTATATCAATCTATAATGAGATTAAGCACTATAAAAACCAAACATATGTACCGTCAAAAGCGAGTTTATTTTCGATCAAAGTTTTAAAAGGATTTTTAACTCGTTCAATACTAGAATAGGCTGTCTCCCTAAAAAAAAGTACAACTATATTCCACATTTTCTGCTCGGTTTGGTGTGCAATTCAAATGAATCAATTAATTTTTTTGTATTAATTGATTGAAATAGACCCTTACGAATCAGAACTAGCACGCAGTTTTGGTACAAGATACTCAACGAATTCAAGTTCAGTAATCATTTATCTAAAGCAAAACTTTAGATAAGTTCGATCTATAAAATATGTTTTCGTTTTACCCAAAATTCACTTGGCTGAAAGTCAAACGGTGAACAGCATGTAAAAATATTTCTGACTTAACAAAATTCGCCTAACTGGTAAACGGTGTACTCCAGTAAAACGTGTTCATTTTGAGCCATATTCATTGCTTTCGAGTTTTTTTTAATAGATGCATCACTAGACATGCCATATATAGCTTGTCGTGAAAAGTTTCCTATACTCAATCGAGAAGACGATTATAAGAACATAGACAACGAGAGAAAATATTAAAAAGGATTTTGTACATTTATTGCCAACTCCTATCGTATAGCGAATGAGAAGTATCTTTATCTCCCAGAGAAAAAACATGAGTTTTATTATTTTATTTCATGGCTGGAATAACGCTAAATTGAAGCGAGTACAAACTCTTCATGCCAAGTAAGTTTTGAATATACGGAAAAATACAAAGTGAATCTCAAAATTCTGATATATCGAATATATAAAAACTAATTGATAAAACCTAAGTATGACTTATGACATTTGTCTTCATATCTACTCAGATAATCAGATAAAGTGAACTATGATAGTTCTATTCTACTCTAAGCAATAAATAAAAAGACGATCGATTGACATTGAATTAAGAAGTGATTACTCAGTAGATATCTGTATCTACTTTACTGGAATAAATCACTACGTCAATTGTTATCTGTATGTATAAAAAAATGCAATACTTCACCGAAGGATATGTGGAAACTCAGAATATCAAAATCATATTGAAATATTTGTATGTCCTATTATTCGCAATAACGGACAGCACTAACAAGTACTATACTCAATACCAAATATTCTTCGTCAGCTAACATATACTTATATTTAACTATGAATGAATACAATGAAAAGGCAACAAAGAGATAATGTATGAAAACAAGCGTCTACTGCTTTAAAAAATGAAGCATAAATAGTAAACTAACTGAAAAACATAAAATGGGATCTATAAATATCAGAGAAATATGTGTAACTGTCATGCAAAAAAAACAGACTATGAAAATAGGAGCTAGGAGCATGATTTTCCTATTTATTTTAAAGAAATATAAATTGTCGGTAATTTATACTTTGAATAAATATGAATATTGCTTTATCACAATTTATATTTAAAATAAATACAAATATTGTTTTAAGTATAATTTTTATTAAAAAACAATATAATTTATTTTCCGTCTATTCAAAGGCATGGGTGTGGAATCTGATTTCAAAAAATTCTTTTTTTTAAATAGCTATGATAGTAAATTACTATTAGTAATTTATCATGGCTGATTGATATCGTATAGTTATATCTTTCTATTTTTATTTCATTGTAATTAAAAAGAAATTACTCTTTTATAATGCAAAAATTATTGTAAGCGAGATCGTATTTTTGATGACGAATCATAGTCAACAACTAACTCATCATTCAACAAAAGTAGGTGATCGTTAGTAGCCACATCAGTTAATAAAATTCTGCATTCTGTGAGAATAACCCGAGCAACACAAGTCAATTGACGTTGACCGGAACTAAAATTTGCACCCCATTGAAAGACAGACGAAAGAAGATTATTTGAACTTTTAGCTATTATTGGTTTGATCTGTACTGCTTCGAGTACTGTCCATAATTGTTCATCCGAGTAATAGTTAAATGAGTCGGGATGATATCTGAGAGCACCACTAAAAAGGACAGGTTGTTGAGGAATAACATCGAGATTCGAACGTAGTTGACGAACTGTGATACGACTGATATCAATATTATCGAGAACAATTTTACCTTTGATAGATGATCGATCTACTGATCGCAAAAGCTCATGAAATAAAGATGATTTTTCAGTGATGGCTCAAGACCAGGACGATAGCGTAAGGAATAATTGTGAAAATAGATTTTGCCACTATTCAGTCAGCTAGGGAGTGTTTGAGTAAGCTCTTGTGCGCTACTATCATCTTGTGCTCTTCTTAACTATGCATATTGATCGATGCACTCTGCTAATTGTTGCATATCTCACTGAGGCTATTCAGAAATACATGCCGTCAGTGTACGGGTGTGAGTATGTTACACTAAGAAAGTTCACACGCAAACCCAAGAGTGATCAAATAGCATGTATGTCATAAAAGAAAAGAAATCGATATGCATTATATCAGTCTTATAGCAACGTTTGTTGATTGTAATAAATTTCAATTGATTCCTAATTGCATCCTTTTTTAAATGCGTTGAAAACTGATGATCGAAAAAATTCCAACGACCCATATTGTTAAATGAAATTAACGCATGAAAAAGTTTTCCCTTCAATAAATAGTATAGCTAATTTTAATGCACGTAAATGCTTTAGTTGAAGACAAGATCATAATCAAAATGGCACAATAACCCAACTGATATAAAATATTAAAACGGGAGAATTGCGTATTTATGGAGTATGCTAATACTTGTTATCGTATTAAAAAAGCATTAATAAATGTCTTATTCAAAAAATAGTTTTCTACAACATTAAATATGTATAATCATATCGAGATAAGCAGGCAAAACTCCAGCTAGAATTGATGATTCACGATTTCATTAAGAATAAAATCTAAAAAAAACTATCGAAGTACGTTGAGACTAAAATTAGAAACACTTCGTTCAATTTAATGACAGCAGCTATATTTAGCATCTAATTCAGCATGACTTTTCCCATGTAAACTGGTCATGTTGAATAAAAATAAAATTTCCTTCACTAATTTTATCTTTCCAAAGGTTTGGAATATCTTATCAACAAAGTCCAAGATAAAAGACCTAGATGTGATACATATGTCACGATTAAGCCACGTATTCAGGGACATGTAATGAATTATTTCGACAACACTGAATTCTCGAATAGCGCAATCATTCTATTAAAAATTATTCGATGTCATCCTACAAAAATAAGCCTTTCTTTGAAGTCAGTTGAATTGATTAAGAATTTTCAGGATATTAGCCTATCAAAATTGAATATCAGATAAAGACAAAGCGCCAAATACTCGATTTTTTTCCAGCTGACGATATGAAAGAACCAATGTCGCTATTTACTTAGTCTTTGTGCAGTCGCTACATACGTCATTTGTAGCTATCGTGAAGACAAATCCAATTCGTTACTCTTTAATGATATATTCTTAGCCATCATGAGATTGAAGAAAGGAAAGGATTTATATCTGAATTCATTCATTAGGAACTGTCAAAAAAATGACTTTACATTTCAAAATGCGAAGATGTGGATTAAAAGTCTATGGCTATTTTTAAGATGTACTAAATATAACGATAATCATTTTAACTCGTTTCGTCTCACGAATTTCATACGTGCAACAGATGTCGTTATGTTTGTATTCATTTTTTCTTGTAGTGATGTTCGTCTTTGTTTTTGTAGAATAAATAATGGCTTTACTTATATCAAAGATTTAAGAGGATTGCTCTTTCTTCTTTTTTGATTATAGTGCAATCTCCTTATTATGAACACGATCGGGAACTTTGAAAAACATTCATCACAGGAAGTGCCTATATAATTTATTGTAAAGTGAAGAAAAAGTTTTAATATAATTACTTCAACATTATCACTAGATAAAGACGAAATACAGTCTACAACAAGTGTGAAAGTATATAATGTAGGAGGACATTTTGATTTTGGTTTGTTTCCGAATTATTTCAATATCCTGTTTTACGCTTTTCAAATGTTTGATGAAGAATCAAGCGAAATATTAACTTTTCGAGCTAATTTAATTTTGTACATCCTACTCTTGTTGTGATATCGTTTGTTACTTCTACACGGGCAATGGTCAAATAGTACAAAAAATTTAATCACTCGTAGTGTATTAAGAGAAAAACACATGTTATTATTAGAGAAGTTATATACGACAAAGGAAATGAGTAAAAAAGGTGTTCATATTGAAGACAGACGTTGTCAGGAATAAAACGCTCCGCCAGACTTGATACTCTTTATATTTAGGAAAAGTTCACGGGTAGAGATTTTACTGTATACCACTAGCTTGTTTACTACGAACAGATATTAAATGCGTATATTCTTGAAAGCTTTTTTTTAAATGATATTTTCTTTTTAAACGACATTATGTGTTGTTACTAATAAGCAGCTCTTATATGATTATGAGTTAAAATAGACATTCATAGCAGAGGTTTTCTTTTGGTTTGACAGAAGAAATTAATATCGTAAAATCGGTATGCTATATTGAAGAAAAAAAATTCATTTTTTCATGAAGCTACGAAAATCTTTCTTAACGTTAACAATTTAATTTTTTTATTCTATTATTTTTACTCTACAGCATGCATATAAAGAATGAGGGTAATCCCTGTGTTTGTTTGATGAAGTGAAATCTTCTATAGAGTGTTTTTAGAGTTTTTCTTTAATATGGCTACAATCTACATGCATCAAATAAGAAACTTTTTAAAACGTGTATAAGAAGATAATATCTTCTAAAAGCTCAAGATAAAGAAAAATATGCGGCATGATATTTAGCGATTATAAAATGCCATTATCCTAGCAGGATGCTTAGCAATAAACTGAAAGAGGATTTCTTCGGTATTATGTGTTTGACGGGAAAATTAAAAGATCAAAAAAAGACTAGAGTGAAAGAAAGCAAGAAGAAAATTTTCTCATGTGTTCATATTTGTATTATTTTCTAAAAGGAAAACATGAGTAATTTTTCATACCAACACGGTGATACTGCATGGGTACTAGTTAGACTTTTATATCACTAACAAAAGTACAGGTTCGTGTCTTTTGTTTAGAGTATGACATCTACCGGTTTGGTGTATATGATGACACCAGCATTAGCTTGTTTTTATGGTGGTTTGGTTGAAAATAAAAATTTTCTTAATCAACTTTTTTTGTCTGTTGTTTGTATGGCTATTATTCCTGTTCAATGGTGTTTATTTGGTTATTCGTTTGCTTTTGGTCCCGGAAATTCAGCATTTGGTTCATTTTCTTATTCTGTAGGACTTAAAATGGGTCTCGTATCTTTACATGGCGAAACTGCGGATCAAATCAATCCCTTATCAATCCCTTCGTTAGCATTTAGCGCTTTTCAGTGTTCCTTTGCCATTATTACGCCGGCTTTAATTAGTGGTGCCGTGGTGGGTCGAATGAAAGTTATTCCCTATATGCTTTTTATTTTTCTCTGGGCGACATTTTGTTATGACCCATTGGCAAGATGGGTTTTTTATGATTTAGGTTGGCTTCATCAATTGGGTGTTGTGGATTTTGCTGGAGGGTTAGTTGTTCATGTATCTAGTGGAGTATCAGGACTAGTTGCTGCATTAATTTTGGGATCTCGTGCTCAATTTGATCCAGATGTACTCAATACTGGCCAAACCAATATTCCATTTACTATTGTGGGTACTGGCCTACTTTGGGTTGGATGGATGGGATTCAATGGAGGATCAGCATATGCGGCATCTGGTAAGTTCAGTTTGTTTTTAGAAAATTTTCTTAAAAAATTGTCCTTTTTTTCAATAAACAAGAAATCTATGATTCCTATTCTTTTTTCGAAGGTATTGCTGCTTTGGCTATTGTTAATTCTAATGTAGCTGCAGCATCAAGTATGACTATTTGGGTTATTTTGGACATTATACATGGTAAATTAAGAGGTCAACCTAATGCTTTTGTATCAATTCCTGGTGTTTGTTCAGCAACTGTCGTTGGACTTGTTGCCATAACGCCATGTGCTGGCTATGTTCAACCAGGCTATGCAATGCTAATCGGTGCATGTGCTGGTCTTATTGTCAATTTATTTTTAGCAGGAAAAAAACGTTTTTTTCATGTCGATGATACTCTCGATGTATTTAGTTGTCATGGTTTGGGCGGTTTTATAGGAACTGTCATGACTGGATTATTCATTCAAACTGATGTTAATAGTGATGTTGCAAATGGTGCCTTTTATGGTAACCCTATTCAATTAGGATATCAACTGGTAGGAATAGTAGTCGTAGTTTCTTTTTCTACTGTATGTACGGCAGCAATTTTATTGCCAATGCATTTTACATTCGGTATTCGCATAAATCGATTGGAACAAGTGCGAGGCTTAGATAATGTGGCACATGGCATTGTTGATATGAATCTACCTAAAAAAATGTCACAAATACAAGGACCATCGTTAAGACAGAAGCAAACTGAAATAAATATAATACCAACCATTCCTATTGAAAGTTCCTAACCATGACTTATTTTCCCTCATGTTTTTAAATCATATCTTAGTGTTGTCATCGAAATTTTCAGTCAATAAAATATAAATATATGTATACTGGTGAATATTTTTACTATTTGGATTAGATCAATCAGCCATCTTTTTCCATTGATAGAAAAGAAAACGTTATATTTGGCGGAAATTCATATATAAAATTTTGTATTACAGGTCAAGAAAGGCTCTTGTCTAACTTCAAAAGAAAATATTGGTTAATTTTATCCACGTATTTGTAGAGAAAAAATCATCCATGCGTCATTTGATTGCTAATGCAAAGTGATAGTCGAGTGTCTGCGTTTAACTGCATGAGCGAAACGCAGCATTAAGACAATGACAGGTGAATGTGCATATAAACTAGAGAAAAGTCCGCTTATTGCTTAAATAATGGGCCTAATTTTAATTCATGTTGGGAAATGTTAACATAATTAAAACTAGTTAAACAAAAAACAAGCTCGATCAAAAATGAATTTTAATCGATTCTCAACTAATAGAAATATCAACGCGGTCAATGTTTATCAAAAGAAAGTACATTTTGAATCTAAATTATTTATATGTGGGCTGTTCCATGGGAACTCAAGCAAAAAGACACCAAGTATCCAATTCTTTTTTTGCTTTCATCCAGTTTTGTAGAGCTCGTTTCGCTGATCATTTCAGTATAAAAACAAATTAAAATTCATCGGTAAAACAAATGTGTATAGCGAAAATACTAAAACTGTTTTTTTTATTAGAAATACCTTAGATTTTTCGGTATTTTAGCCCTAGCGTAGTTATTTCTACACATTTTGTTGACAAAAGATATACCAAAATGTTCAGCTCAATTAGCTCTACAAGATAAGATACTTTTCAAAATTACTCGAAGTCATTTTTCAATGATTTACTTAGGTA